TTATTTCTGCATCCAACTTGGCTCCCATTAAGTTATTCTCCATTCAGTCAGTTCACATGGTATTTTAATAATCGATTTTTACCATAGTTATTATATGTATAAAATCCTTCAAAGAATACCCTTGGCTCTTAGGACAAAGTCTAAAACTCTTGCTATAGCTCCCCAGTCTCTAGCACCAGCTCACAGTCTCACCAATTATCACTCAACCTTGCTCATTAAGCTCTAGTTACTCCAGCATTCTTTCTATTCTTGGAAGCCATCCAATACTTCAGGAGTATTGTGCTTTTCTCTTTGGCTGAAATATTGTTTGAAAAATTGCTTCTAATGCTTTAGGTTTCGGTGAAGCCAATTCTGAATATTCACTCTGAGTAAGTCATCCTACTAAATAATCTTATAATAACCTGTGTCTTTCTTTAAAAACATTCATCAGAGTTTATAAATCTACAGATGTTTGTAGAAGAGAGAATAAGAGAAATCAAAAGACCTCACAGAAGGTTCTAAGTGTTCTCCCCAACTTTAAAACACCTTGAGTCATTTAATCCTTTCGGATTATTATCCATTTTTTGGTAGGAAGAACTCCATTAGCAAATGGGAGACAGGTCATTTAGAAATTAAAGAACTTTGTAGCTTCCTAAAATTCTAAACATAAAAAAAAGGTAAATGAGGAATTGGATTCTAAGAACAAGAACTAACAAATATATTTTCTATGCCTCTCCCATCTCCCTGAACATCTAATAAATTAATCGGTTAAAGCATAAAATACATAGATCACCTAAAATTGTTGAAAACTATGCTAATTGCTAGCAATAAAGTAATTTAAAATGATTTCCATTTTTCTGGCATTAACGTACTTGTGAGAAGGAGAGAACCTAATCGAATAATTAAAAGGTGATTAACACAATGAAGAATTAGGATAGAGTATTATGATAGTATATAATAGGTTATGATTATGTTTAGGGAAGATTTCCCTGGGAAAATACTCTTTAAAATGATGAAGGATGACCAAAATTTAGCAAAGAGAAATGAAGGAGGAAGAGTTTTCTCTAAGTAGAGGAACAGAATGTCTCAATGTTTTGAGGTGGGCTAGAGAATATCAGGTACATGAAAGAGCAGAGCAGAGTTAGAACAGAAAAGGGCAGATTAGGAACATCTTGTAGAGAATTAAGAATTTTGAATGTTATTTTAAGGTAAAATGAATGTGTTTCAGAAAACAACACTTCAGTTGCAGTGTGGGGAATAGATTTGGGGTGGTAATAATGGATGCACAGAGGCCAGTGGGAGGAGGTTTTCCTTTCCATAGTGGCTTCATGGAGGTGGTAGGTGATCACTGCTTGTTGTGTATTGATTGCTATGGAAATAGTGAAAATAAGCCATATTTAAAAGTATTTCAATAGTGTTCTTTTTGTCTGGTGATGTAATGAATGTAGTGTGTTTACAGGGAAAGGAAGGACTTAAAACTGACCCCCTAGATTTCTGACTTGAGTAATCGAGTGGGTGATAGTGCCACTTACTGAGCTTAAGAAGATTGGAGGATGAGTAGAGGGATAATGATATTCTTATTTGTAGAAATGTTAAGGTTCAGTACATTTTGGACATTTCATAGTCACACAGATATGTGTATCTAGAGCTTTTAAGAGGTATCTGGAATGGAATTTTAGTTGAAGCTATGAAAGTAGATTGCCAAGGGAGAGGGTGCAGAATGAGTAGATCAGGGGCCTAGGCCTGATGACATCTGAGTTTTGGTAGTTGGAAAGAATAGGCAAAATGTGTAAGTAAGGATGAGAATGAGTGACCGCAGAGAAAGAAGGGAAAATTACAATATTGTGTCAAGAAGTTCCTTGAAAAATGTTTTTAGGAAAAGGGACTTGTCAGTCTGTGGAATGCTGCTGAGGGATCAGGAAACATTAAAACTCATAATGTGCTTTGGATTTATTAGGGATAGCAGATCAGGAAGAGTATTTAGGATAAATCCAGAATGGAGTAATTTCAGGAGTAACAGAAGTTTCTTACAGCCAGAGATAATGATTGGCCTTAATGATTTCTTCTCCAGAAAATGATTGGCCTTTCCTTTTCCCTTCTATACATATTGTTCCCAAATTGTTCCTTTCTTCCCCATGATGTCTTGGGCTCTTACCAGCACAAGTTAATTTGACATCCTTATGGTTACTGCAGTGGTGAAGTCCCCATCCACTGTGTCTGCAATTCCAGAGTGTTGTTTCATTCCCATGGCAGGAAATATCGTGCGGCCAAATGGGGACAAATGTAACTGTGTTAGCAATGGCTTCAGAAAAAATGAAAGAAGATGGGCATCCCAGTTGCCTGCACACCACAGCAGCAACATTCAAGTTCCAACCATCATCACATACTGTCCCCCAAATTTCTTGGAATTTCACCTCCACTCTTCCTGAACAGGAGCTGCTTCCACCCCACAGCCTTAAATCCAGATTGGTTTTATCTATAAGAAAGACAAAAAGACACATCAGAAATGGACCCAAGTTTGAGTCTGATATAAAATCAAAAGGATGCTTAGGAGATAGCCCTGTTATAAATAAGTTACCAAAAATAATAAGAAATCTGTTGAAAAGACCTAAAGAGAGTGTATGTGAGACTTTTTTCCTAAACACAAATACATAAGCAAAAAAAATGCCAGGATGAAAAACCAATAATTACCATTATATTCTTTATCATTTTGCTTTGATTCTATGTCTCATTATTCTCAAAATATTTGTTCTTTCAGTGTACTCAGTACATAAGAAAAGGAACCTAAATCAAAGCTATTCCCTATTTACAATTTCTTTCTAAACTCAATTATAAATATAAAAAGACACTACATTGGTAACTATAGTGTTCTCTCTCTCTCTCTCTTCCCCTTTCTCTCCCTCTCTCTTCTCCTCCCTCCTTCCTTCATTTCTTTCTAAATTCATTTATAGCTATAACAAAGAAAAATAATTGGACATTACTTTGGAAGTGAGAAAAAGGATAGAATATATAAAGTATTTTCTCCAACTCTCAGAGAGACAAAATTGAAGTCAGAATAGAAACTTCTGGCTTCCAGCAGATGCCTTTTGAGGGTAGGACTTACCTTCTTACTCTGGTTAGACTCTTACCATAACAGGCCACGCCAGCATCTTCTCTGTGACTACAGTCATGGCTTCCCCATTGCCGGTGTTGGCATTCCCAGAGAGCTGACTCATTTCCATAACAGGAAACATCATCAAGCCAAATTTGTCCATGTCCAGGCATGGCTTTTCCAAGACCAAGTGTGGTATGATAAAACGGACATCCTAGCTGTTTGCACACAACAGTCATGGCAGCACTGTTCCAACCATCGTCACACACAGTTCCCCACTCTCCCTGGAATTTCACCTCTACTCTCCCAGAGCAGGGACTGTCTCCACCAGTCAGCCTCAACTCCAGATCTGTTCCATCTGCAAGAAAGACAGAGACACAAATTAGAGGTGGCAGAAATAATATAAGTAGCTGAGATGGATGATGATAATTTAGCCTAAATGTCATTATTAGAACTTAAAGTGGAGGGAAAAGAAAACCGAGCAAATTTGAGTTGAAAAGCTTTGACTTTGACCATAGAAAAATAGAAACCACCTCACAACATAGTTTTGTTTTGCCTTCCAAAGTGAAAATGAAAAGAGTTGGAAGAAATTTTTCCTGTTGATGAGAATCCCATCAATACAAACCATAGAAAAGAGAATGTTAGCTTTTTCACAGGTTGGATGACAAGAAAGTCCCTTGGCTAGTCAGTTTCAAAATAATCTATACCTGAGTATTATATTATTACCTCACATTTTTGAAGGTGATATTTTATATTTTTTAACTTAATAATTGAAATCACCATGTAAGATTAACATAATAATCTTCACATTTATAACCTATTCAATAAAATCTACATAGTTAAATACTTTTGAGTATTTCTAGCCTCAACTATTTTAAATATATTCTACAAGCCTTGCCAGAGGAGACCTAGTTGTCCATGATTGTAATATGTTATTCAACCTTTCTTAGTCACAGCTATTTGGACTAGATGTGAACAATCACCTCAGGAAGTCAGTCCTTCAGATGGCCATTGACTATTCATAGTACCCTTTCTTAAAAATTTGAAATAAGCTCAGGGCAGGGGAGGGGAGGCAAGGGCAATATATGTAACCTAAACATTTGTACCCCCATAATATGCAGAAAAAAATTTGAAATAAGAACAATGGACAATAACTTGGATGGATTTTTCATTGAAGCCATGAGACTAAGTGAAGTTAGCATAAACCCTACTTACAAGCCAAAATTTTGAGTAGCAGATGCTAAGAATTTAATTGAGAAACAAAAGTGAGGGAAGAAAAGAGCAAAGGACCCATGCATTTGCAACATAAAACTTTATGGTGATGAGTTTTATGCTTATGATCATGATGAGAAGGTGTGACAGTAAGGGCAAGTGAGACAAAGGTAGAAAGAGAAGCAATAAAGAGAATGAAAAAGAGAAAAAAGAGAAAGGGAGAGGAGAGAGGAAAAAAGAGAGAGAAGAGAAACAGAGATACACAGAGAGAAACAGAGGGAGACAGAATACAATAGGAAAGCCTTCCCAGTTCTGAGTTTCAGTCCCTAATGGCTCAGATACAATGTATTTTTCACGAGATGTCACACTACTACCTCTGAAAATGAATTGTGAGTTAACCGTGAATCTTCATTCAATCTGGTCTTGCCTATACTATAGTACATTCATGGGAATAACTAGAAATTTTGGTTTCCTTATATTTCCCGGGATTGCTGCTGTTTCCTATTTCTTTTTTTTTTCTATTTCTTTTTATACGTACATTTTAATTTTTAGTTGAAGCTTGTGGGGGCATTCTAATACCTGTGCTCACATTATATAACTCTTAAATTCAATTCTTTTAAAATTTATATTCTGTTCTGTAACAGTAATCTCCATAAATATTTTAGCCTGATTTAGCCGATGAAATTCTGGATTTCGAGCTGA